ATCAAAACTCGCGCTAAAATTTTCATTGTACAAAAATATAAATACCTACTGCATTAATAAAATTAATTTTTAAAAAGGTAACTACGGCGGTATCTTGATCATAAACAAACGTTTACTTTCTATACGTGTCTATGAACATGCAGCAACAAAAGGCTGGGCAAAGCTACTTAAATTTAAGCTCTCAAAGCTTTGCGCGCACTTGCCGCCCGCAGCTGACATTTGTGGGTTTTATTTAACTGTTCACATTGAATGAAATTGTGGTGAAAATATTAGCACCAACTTTGCTCTTTAAATTTTTAGGAATCCGTACCGAAAGTGTAAAATTGAACTCTATTATCTTATATCTTATATTTTATGAACCGTGATAGCTAGACAGTTGAAATTTCACAGACGATATATTATTTTAGATACTTGAAATCATTCATGTGGCTTTAAGAAACAAATCTAAAAGTTTTCTATATTGTTACGGAACCCTTAGTCCGACTGAGCGAGTCGTAGTTTAAATCGTTCAAAGGTCGCGCAGAAATGAACAAATTTAATTTTAACTTGTTCTTCTCTGTATAATGAATGTTGTGCACCTGCGAATATTTGATTTCAAACAGATTTATTTTTAACCGTTAACCTGTTGGTTTGTAGGTAAGTCGAAACTCTTTTCAGGTAGGTATAAAATAAATGAAGCAAATCTTACCCAGACGCAGGAATAATATTAATAGCTGTTATATGGGGCGATGATTGAATGAATTTTTTCAATAGCAGTGAATTTGAGTTTTACTTTTACCGGTGCTTGAATGGAAAATAATTTGAGTGTAACTTAAAATCCATGAACAGCTATCATAAAGATAAAACGGATATTTGACACCGTCCATTTGTTACAGGTATAATTTCTAAGGGACACGGCGAACTTGATATTCGGTGTCCGTTATATTCTCAAAAGAAATGGCAGACAGCAATTTTAAAATATTTTTGTTAACCATCTTGAATATGCTTCAAAACCGAGTTTTGAATATTCCACTGATACAAACAATTAAACACATAAGTACAGACCTAAAAGTTTGTAAAAAGATGAAGCCCGCATATTTCAGTGAGAGTTTTAAGTTTAGTTCCAATAAATAGGTTACTTCAAATGCTCTTTTCAACTAAAGGTTCTTACTATGTGGTTTTTAAAGGACCTGCATACTACGAAACGTATAAAAACTTTTATTACCCATAAATAGTTTTACTGTTGTAATATATGCAATAACGCGAAGCAAAAATATTTCCCGCGTTTATTTTCATATAATAGTAGGTTCCATTTCTAAAGCAGGTTGCCGTTTTGATTAAAAAAGTCTCTACACAAATGCTATGGTCTAATTTTGATGTGACCTGTCAACTCTCGATATTACTGAAATCAGTACCTTTTAACTTACGGTAGGTAAGTTTATTATCGTTTTATGTGCCATTGTGACGATGTCGCCTTTTGTATCGTGCCTTTAATAAAATTTATCGGCAGCTTCAAGAGAATTGTACAAACGTAATAACTTTTATTTGAAATTCTATTCAATTGAATTTTAAAGAAATTGGTCTTTATGCCGTTTGAGCGCCCGTCTTTGTTTGAAAACAATTGTTTCTTTTAATGAAGTTGGGTATATTTACTTAGATATTTTCATTTTCAGACTATTTTCTTAGCCATTATTTGGAGCTTTACTATTTTTCGAACAAAAGTTCAATGACATGAAAATTTTAAGTGTTTCATAGGTGACGTCACAACCGCTAGCAGGTGTGCTCTACTGACACACAAAATACTACAAAACGAAGACGTACCGGCGACGTGAGAATAGAAGCCGCGTCACTTTTATTTGTCTTACTCAATCCATTAGTCACGACTAATTAACCATTTCTACGGATACAGTCTATATTCTTTGAGTGGTGGTAGTGTTTTCTAATCGTGCCGATTTTATGCACCATAATAGCCCTGGCACCATACCAAAAATTTTGGTAGAATGTATGTCGACGTTATTAGATTAAGGGACAATAAACTGCGAATAAGTACATCAGCGTATTGTTCATCGTGGTAAAACAACATGTGAATATAATATCAGTAGTCGCTAACTATACCACTAAGGTACTGTCGTCTCGTCGGTGCATTATAGAGAAAATCGATTGTTCGAAACAAAGCGCGTGAACGCTTCCTGCGTGTTCATGTTCGTGTTCCAGAATAGATCAATAAATCCAAAATAGATTTAATACAGCACATCCGGTGCATTTACCAGTTAATATTTTAGTATTATAGGTTTAGTATCCACCGTTGATTAGAGGAATACAGATATACCAGCTATTCATGCAGAGGTAAACACAAACACAAATGCACATACCAATAGCCCCCAGATATGGCAGTTAATTGATTATCCACTCGGTACTCCGCGCTTAGGTATGTCCAATTAGTCGCTTGAAATTTTAAACGCATATTCAATTGGGGCATTAATTAAATATTTTTGTGGATTGCACTTTTTGTGGAGCTTTTAGTCTTAATAAAATTTTACAAAAATCGCGTACAACGAACTACTACAAGCTGGTTGATTGATCGGAAGGCCAAACATGTCAGTTAAAGTCATACATAGTCTGGTCACATGGAAAATGGATAGATATTTTTACAAATGGAGGCTCTTCATGTTTCATTCACTCTAGTTGTGCCGTTGTTAGTTCGCATCGTGTCTACACTTTCCCATAAATTTATCGCTAAATTGACTGGGCTATTCTATTAAATTCTCTTTCACCAATAAACACTTTCGTTAAAGAGCAGTCCACGGCTAGATAATACAAAAATAAAATGCGTATCGACAGCAAAATGGAAATTCCTGGAGTAACATTCAGAGGCGAGAGTAAAACAAAAAGAAATGAAACAATGGCGCGCAGTTCTGGTTCTTTAGCGAGTCCTATCTGTTGTATCGTGAGACCGTACCGATAAACTGCATCAAGATTCAATAAACAATACTTCTCACTTAAAAGATCCAGATCGGTTTTAACTTTAGTCTAATTATAAGGATTTAAAATAACTAGTCTTATACATAAGGTAAAGTAATTTAATTTCTTATAATGTTGCTGAATGTCGTCTATTCAATAAGAAATATGTAAATACCCTGTAATACTGTCTGAGCGAACGTACGATAGTTCAATCAGGACGAATAACCAGATATAGCTCCATTCAAGTGCGGAAAAGGAGCTTATACGTCGGGGACACTGCACCAACATTTATTCTTGAAGTCTAAGGAAAAATATTTTATGTAAACGAACTACAATTTTCCCAGCAGGGATCAGAGTAACCGGCAAGTGTACGGCTTTACAGTTTTCTCAGTTTTATTTTAAAGGAACTTTTACAGACGTTCATGTTGAATAAAAATGTGTAACAATAGAAGTTCACTTAGCTTTGTTTGAAGTTGGTACATTATATTGATATTTTTTTCTTAAGTAACCGATCTTTGTTCTCTAAAGTAGTAGTATTTTTTTGCTTGTAAAGTAAACATGTACATTTGAAACAGTTGTGTGACCTTCTAACAACGTAACTCTTGATTTTGAGTGATAACTCTATGGTATGATTCTATGAAATAAAAAAGTGCACAATTGATATTCATTTTAAAATAAATTCTACAATGTATTGTAGAATTTAACAATGTATTGTAGAATTTTAAACTGGATTTTAAAATTAAACTTACACCACTTACAAATAACTGTCAGCGCCACAAAAAGTGATCAAGCACTTACAAAGAGCGCGAAGATAAGCAAGCGCCCTCATTACTCGGATCGGGACATTAGAGATGCAACAATTTCATCAGTACAGCTTTCCTGTTACGAAACATTAACATACGAGTACCGTAATACTTTTTTTTAAACCATTGGCCTATATTTGACGAAGGCGTAACGTATCGTTTGCTACCCGTTATTTGTTTTTCACAGTTCCGTGAGATAACTGGGCGTAATTAAAAACACTTGTGAAGATTTAGTGTGTTTGTGTACAGCGAACCGATCAATTACCAATGTTGTTTATTAAGAAAACCAGGCGTGTAAACTAATTTTCTTTATCGTTTAACGATTCGTACAACTTGTACTAGTTCTCTTAATATGGCCGGTTGCCGGCTAGTTGTATAGTGAGATCTAATTTATGAGTTTTCGTTTTAGTATGTAATTACTTTGTACTTTGTTCGTATGAAAAACTTGACAGACTGTTAATTCGGTTTTGATGATCTATTTTACTTACAACCTATTTGGCTCCATATCATAATATTAATGTATGAATGAGCCATTTCGTTTGGAATACGAAGTAATTTTTAATAAACCAACTAGCCACTGCAGCTTTTTTTAAAAACCACACTAAATCCTTGACTCAGCAGTGCGTGGGACTTTCGTCTCTAATTCAGTATAGCAATAGTCTATTATTACTTGCTTATTGGTATATATGTATGTATATTAGTCGCACGTTCGTGCAATTGCCACACAATTAAACTTTTTGAACGCATCTGAAATTTACTGCACAATTAGTGTTCGTAATGAGTGAACACTCGCAATCTGTTATTGATAACCAATGTCGTCTATGTTCGAGAAAATTGTTGTTTGATATATATTTGAGTGTAACGCAAGTTTAATCATTTAATTGCTTGAATGAAACAGGTAATCTCATTATATCTTACATGTTGACGCGAATTATTTTGACGACATTATAGAGCGCTATAAGGAAAACCGATTTAATTTAGATTAAGGAAAGCTTTAGACGTTACATTACGATAAATATTATTATTATATTAATATTAGTGACTTAAAGTAAAATAATGTACCGTATATAAATATTATACATTGACGCCTAACATCTAACTTATTATTTAGAAAAAGGGTGTGAAATACCTTCTCTACGATTTTTGTGCTTGAGAGTATCATTAAAATGTATCCTGTCTACATCCTGTAGCGTCAGGTGAGAGTGTTTGTGTGCGTGTCTGTGGCAACTACCAATCGTAGGGCTCCATTTCGGATACCTGAATGGTATCTCTTCTCATTGTGCGTGACGCGGCGATGTGTGCGTCGGTTCCTCGTGTGCTGTCGGCTGCTGCCGCCGTCGCCTCGCGGACCCCGAGGCGGCTGGCTACCAACTGCGTCCAGAATAGGCCATTGCCAATGTTTGCAACCAATATTCGTACCTCATTGCCTATGTAAATTGCTAAATAAATATTCGGTGTCGACTACGTTATTGCAGGTCTTAAATAGATGTGCTATGAACGAATATTTATTTAACAACAGATATGTGTATTACATGAAATAATAATGGTGACGATGATAAACACAACATCGCTTCCACATACAAGCGCTTTTTAGCATAACCTCAGCTTATAATTAACATTTTGAGTTTGGGTCAAATGTCAGTGCAAAGGCAATGAAATAAAAAGGGAAAAAAAGCAATTAAATAATCGAATCATGTGATAGATACAACAAAATACTATTTGCCATCTTACACAAGTTTGTATATCCGCTGAAAAGCATTTTATTCATTGCGAATTTTGAAGAAAGAAGACATAAAAGTAAATAAAAAGAAGAACGAACAATAAAAATGGAAAACACTTTAGGTTAATATTGCAATGACAATACTGAATATCGGAAATACTTAATTTATAGATATTCCAAATTTAACGAAAGTAGTATTGTATCGCGTATCGTTATTTCGCGGCCCGTAACGAAGGAGGTGATTTTCTCGCTTACAATTGTGTGTACAGCGGAGCACAATGTATTGGACGAAATTATACTAGATTAAGAGACCCCGATAAATGATTGTATTTTTATTAGGTTTTTAATATACTTATAATAAAAACATAATAGCAAATGGCCAATAGCTGATATTTATATTACCTATCCCTTTAAAAATTCTACACTCGTTCTACTGGCTCGTTTATCTTCCAAGTTATCCAACGTAAAAATCAGGTAAGAACTCGGGAAACGTTCGGAGAAGTGAACAAATCGAATATCTGAAACGCGATTGTAGCAATCTGTAATACTTAAGAAATTCGTTTCATCTGAAAAATATGTTTACTAAGAACACTATTGTGGTAACTGTCACACGTTACATGGAGCATTGTGTTACACTCGCCATGTTTGCTGACGTTAAAGCTGTTGTTACCAACGGATTCGTTGATTCAGACAAATCAATGCAAACGGAATAAAAATGAAATAACAAAACTTTTCACTAAAAATTTATACTGAAATCTGTTATTGTGTTTATATTCAATTACACGCAGGTTTTCAGAATCCGGAATAAATTAAATTACTAACGTTCCATAAAATCGTTCATATCGGGTATGCAAACTGTAATAACGGCTCAAGTATCATTTTTCCGTTTCATTGAATCATGTAGATGATGATCGAATAAACTCAATAATTGCATTTGCAATACCGGATAACCGGTAACAATAATGTTAAATGATAGCTAAATTAATATCCAATTCCAATATTTTAATAAGTACTTTCCGCTTAGTGTTGAACCAGAAACAGAAACACCTACTAAAGTCTTCTAAACTCGCTCACAATGGTCGTGAGTAACAACAGTTAGCGGGTGTGGTGTGACAAGGTACTAACACTTTTGTTCGGCGCGGGTTATCACGCGGGGTCAACGACCTGGCCAGCTGATAAGCGTCGTTTACGTTATCAGGTACCGCAATGCAGGCCCAAAAACTATGGCTAAGGTAAGGCAATCGATATTTGCGGCCCTACCGTCCAAACACGCAGTTTTGTTAGCCATTGTTTTAGCTCACGTACCAAACCATGGAATTTGTATTTATGGCACGCAGGTGAGACGCATTGCCTTAATAAACAGAAAAGATTATACATGTACGTACATGTACAGAAAGACCAGTATTCATATTTTGGGAATATTTTAATTTCGACACCTTTTCTCATCGCATTCTTCCTGAATAATGTTCATTAGAGCAGTTTCAATGCCTTGTAATATGATGATAGACCAAGTAAGAAAATTTTAAAAACAAAATATTTGCAAAATAGGTCGAAAATAGTATCCTCATTAACTTCCAACCGGCGAAGAAGAGACTTAAATCCAGTCACGGCAGAGAAACTTGGGCTCTAAATTATACAGGACTCTCGAAGCTCGGAGAGACAAGGACATAGATAGAAAGGGACAGACAGAGCACTGTACGCCAGTGGTGAAGGGGTTGATGGTATTGAATGCACTTAATGCCCGCGTACTTTGATCTCAGAGCGTCAAGTGCTGTGAAACCCAAACAGTGGTAACTTTGTCTAAAGGGGTATTATATTATAGATTTGGACTGCAAACGCTGTTATATTCGACAAATAATGCAATGCCAATGCAAATAATAATTAGTCCGTCAGTTAGGTAACAAAAAATATTAGACACGTATTTTTTATTTTGATGTATAATAAAATGATACTTAGATATAACGAATCAAAGTTTTAGGAGTGGGGACTGAAACGTCATTTCTACGTATAAAATGTACATAGAAGTGACGTCACGCGACATTTCAAATCATAACATCATCGAAAGTTTTCGTTTCTGTAAAAAAATAAAAATACGTGTGTAATGTTTTAAAATAATCTACTAGACGAACATTAAAATAAAAATCAGTCAATAGGGTTATTATATCGTAGCAAAAGCATACCTACATTTTTCTTTTTACTCCGTTTTGTTTTATCAGGCCATCGAAAGGAAACAGTCCGTTATTAGCTTAGGCTAATTGGTGGTAAGTGGACGCAGTTACTCATGGTCTATCAAAATGAGTTAATTTGTAGGAAATTATTATTACGATTTAATATTTTATCATCATACTTTATTGCACTTTTCCTATTCATAAATCTCGTGACCTAATGTATATGTGTACCGAAATATTCGGTTAAATTTTCCTTCAACATAATGCATCACGAAATGGATCATCACGTATAATGTAAATAATATCTATTAGATCTCGGCTCGTCGGCCGTTACATTTCACTCGTAAAAAAACTAGAATGAATTCACACGCAACAAAGTACGTACATAATTGTTGTAATAAGTGCCGTGTATGTATACTGGCTGTTTTTATATGAACGAAATAATACATACAAATGTTCTAATTTTTCTAAAGTAATGTCTAGCGCAACGAGAACACTTGAGGTGGTTATCTGATTCGAAACTCAGTACATTTTTTAATATAACAGGAAACATCTATTGTTTTATAAGTCCAACATATTAAACATACATTTTCGGGAATTAAAAACAAGTATAATGATTTAACTTCGCTCAATCATAAGATAGTTTGTGCGATTCAATATAAACGTTCTCAACTCAATATTAATCAAAAGGACTATTTTCACAAGTGCAGCGTGAAATGATCCTGACTTGTCACTGGCACTGGTTTAGCCAAACATAGCGCAGTTTACATTTCAAACAGTTTCGCCTCATATTTATAGATAATTAATTTATGTACATACAGACACTGCGCCAATTACTAAAACCATTAGGAACCCGATACGGAAAGGTTTGTTATTACGTCACGCACAAACGACAGACAAACGATGCCTACATTTCACAGCTTTCAATATTAGTCAGTGTACCATATTGTTCTCAACAATGTGCAACAACGCCACTGTTAGAAGACAATGAAACAAAGGTAACTAACTGTTCACATCTAACGAATAGGACTGTATTCTAAACATTATTGGACGAACTCTGAATAAATTACTTAATTCTGCGACAAACTTGTACTGAATTCGAAAAGCAACGAACCATTTTTAGCTGTTGAATAGAATAGATTTGGGGAGTCAGGCGTCGGATAAACTCGTGTGAACGAGGTTTAATCGCGTTTCAACACACGAAAAGGGATTTGCCATGTACAAATCAATAGCTATTGCTTGTTGCAAACAAAGTTCACCGGTTAATTTCTCTCCGCGTTTTGAACCGTCTAGTTAGTTTGAATTACGTACCCCTCACGTTTCACCTCGGGCCAAGGTTTTAGTGAGCATTTTTTGTAGGCGAAACTGCACCGCAAGCGAATAAAGCTGGTACATTTCGACAGTGTTCATTATCTAGTGTTATATTAAGTGCTATTTACGAAATAGTACCGTGGTGATAAAGTGTGGTTGTGTGCGTGTGGGTAACGACTAACTAAACCATAACAACTAAAAGGGAAAAAAGGAGAAACAAACATTTCGTAACTTCACCATCGATCGGAAGTTGGACAAAATTGGTTGGTTGTTTAGTTTATTTTTTGTGAGCTGTGAATGAAGGTCGGCCTCATTATTTTAATAATTTCGACCGTGTCGCTGAACCGATGCAAAATTATCTGATGACGGTTTTAAACATTACACTGTCTGGCTAAAAGCAATTCAACCTTGAAAATGAATATTTTGAATGTGTTTGGCCATTATAGAAAGTTGTTGATACTGATTTGTTTTGTATCGTATTTATTTCCTTTTAGGAGTAGTATATTTTGTTTTACCACCCACTAATGCTTGTACACAAACACGGCAGTCACCAGAATCGTGAAAGCCGTTTGAGTGTAATATTTTGAAGCCGACAAGTGTATCAGAAGTTCATCGTACTCGCGCTCTAAATACGAGTAGTCGGGGGTCCAGATTCAAGATGGCCTCATCGTTTGACCCTCGTTGCGGAATCGGGCCGTGCCGTCTCGATAATTTCGCGATTGTCCAACATCCATCGACGGTGATCAATTGACACTTGACCCCGGCGACGCTTCCGTCGCGACCTTGGACGCCACAGTACTGTAATTATGGAACACGTGACGTCACTGACTAAAACGTGCCAGTACTGATGGGTCTTGTAAGGTACCTTATTAGTTCAGGCATCGGTGTTAGCAGCGATATTGCGTTTTATGGTTAATGAGAACTCGTTGAACTTACCTTGCGGCTGCTGTTGTGGAATGTATGGTGTGAGGAGGCGCGCGCGTTTCTTTTCATAGCCCTTCTGTGTGATGTCCCCTAAAACAAGAAAAGACACCGTATAAAGATTGTTTAAATTAAATACCATAGATGTTTCGGAGAACATAAAAAGGCTTCCCGGACAACAAGTTTACCGAGAGTAAATTTTGACAGTTGTCAGTTGTTGAGTTTTCTACTCTCAGTAAACAAGAGTTTAGATATCATTTGGCTAGTAGTACAAGTTATACCTGTACTACTAGCTATTATAGCTTCTGAGGTATACCTCACTAGCAATTATATCTATTATTATATATAGCTAGGTCAGTTCATTGACACGTATACTCGTCACCATAGTTAGTAGGATTGGATAGTTTTGATATACGGTAAACCTTAATACCTAGTAAAGCGAGCTTTATGGATATTGTATTTGTGCAGACCCGTGAAGGTTCATGAAACCTGACTCGCAGTTCAGTGTACTTACTACGCAGAGTAAGGAACAAAGTACGCATATAAAAACTGCTAGCACTGCGCGTGGTACAGAATGGACGGAGCACAGTCTAAAATTAAAGAAAAATCGCGTTTTATATGCATTTGAAAAGTAAACGTCGTTTTGGGAGATATTTTACTCTGATGGGACCAAGAAAAGACGTTATCGTGTCGGAATTTTGTGCTTTTTCATTCAAATGGTTATCTCATTACAATAAAAAAATTATAAGATCAAAGAAACAAAATTCTAGAAAACGTTAATAAAAATTCAATTTTAACGTTTGAAGTCAACTAGGCCAATGGTAATTAGGTTTTTCTTTGAATTCTAGGCGAGAATTAGAATTGTAGAATGTAGTCTTTGTAAAACAGATGAAATATATGTACCAATTAAAAATTAAGAAAAAAAAAACATTTACTTCAGGTGTTACGATCTAGTAGATAAACATTATGTTAGCACTGGACATTCCCTGATAGAACCACGTATTTTAGAATTTATACGTAACAGTACATCAGACGTTTCATTGACGAAAGGCGGTTGCAAGTCGAAATCCAGTATTTCCAGTAAGCACGCGTTAGATGTACATTGAATTTTACCAGTCCATTGCTCTATAGTCTATAGTCTATACCGTAGACAATCTATCTATAGAGTAATGCACCAGTATAGATACTGGTGTACTATTAGACATCATGTTAGAAATTTCGAAAAAAGCTCAATAATCAATCCCGAATTGGGACCCAAAATATGAGTTTATGAATGATCATAATCGCGATTGCGATCACTCGGCCAATGCGGTAACAAATAGATTACAATAATCAAAATATTTTTGACACATTTATTAGGTACCTACAGTCTATTTACCTTTGTTTTCTGAGAAGAAGTAAATAGGTATGAAGCTAATCGCTCTGTAAACTTCCGACTGTAAAAGTAATGTAATCCTCTCTTAAGCTTAGACTTAATATTTATATTTTTACTGGCAAATCTATTGTTTTGCTTCAATATTTTAAATAATTTGCGGTACTGCTGATCGTTTTGGCCCCAACAACGAAAACCCGTGGTAGGAAAAAATGGATATGACAATAAAATAAGAAAAGTAAAATAAGTAACGACAACTTTGAGAAGAATAACTGGATACAAATTGACTTACAATGAAAGTCTGAAAGAAGACATGGTAACTAGAATTGAAATTAAGCATGTTAAGATGGTTTATTGTAAGAAGATGGCTGCCATAAGATTATCGAACGAGATGTATCGAGTGAAAATACAAAGGGAAGTGGGTGGATAAGGCGCGGACTAAGCATAAGTCTACCAGATGGGTGAGAAGTTACAAATTAAAAACAACTTCAATCAACGAGGTCGCATAAAGAGATTGATGAATGTAGATGAAACGAAAAGTCCCCCCAATGACAGACAGGCAAGATGATTATACATTTTATTTAAATAAGTAGTTTTACTATTCATTATGTAAAATTTTATAGGTTACTTTGTTGAAACGTTGTTGCAAATTGCTATAATGAATAGGCCTACAATGAATATGGTTCTTAACCAAATTATATTTACTTATTTCAGCAAAATACTGTAGACAGGTCTGTGAGCATTTAACAGATTTCCGCTATCAAAATATTCTACAAATTCGTTGTTCAAAATGAGAACTACTCCTCAAATATGTGCTTTGCCCTATTCATTTTATGCACAATTCAATGCTTGGCTATTACATAGTAATAGATAGTCGGACTTGAAATCGAAAATAAAATGGTTCGTTAACAGGTTAATTTATATTAAAGTATTGTCAATGTTAATTTTGGTGGTCTGTTAGAGCTTCCTTTCGATAAATATCACTTCCCTTTTATGGTTTCACATATTGAATGTATATTGGCTATTCCTCGCTAACAATTCGCTTCCATGTTGGCGCCGCCGCCGCGACCGACTGACATTTTGAAAGGAAAACCATTAAAATGTAGCGGAGAGATGAGATTGACTTCATTCTATCATTGCGGCTGAATGCTCCCGAGTTTTAAACTTAGTTATAGGCGTCTAACAAGGGCAATGTTAGGAAATTAAAACCTAACAAAGTTGACGTAAGCGGTGTGGGTAGATTACCTGATTTACGCTGAGGAAACACTGCGGTAATATTTACTGTGAAGTTCAATACAGTTTAGAAACTATTACCGCTGAGATAAAATTACGCGGTTGCGTTAACGAGTGAAGGCTTAAAATTAAAATGCATTAGAAAAGCGCTTAGCCTGAAAAAAAGCTGGTATAAGATTGAGCGAACTTAATATAAACTAACATTAATAAAATTGTTGCGATCACTTGACCCGTTCGTGCTCTACGGAGCATATGATTTGGTTGCAAAGGTCCGCATGGTAGGCCATGTTAGCATCTTTCTTTTTTACAAAAGCTTTTTCAGAGGCTTCTGTTTTAGAATTTACATGACACATGTTTAAAATATTGTACTAGTAGAATTAAAAAAAACTAACGTAAGAGAGTAATTTTTTTAAACTAGAAAATTCCCTTTACTGATCAATATAATAATAGTTAATTAATATTCATCTCACACACAAGAACTGTTAACTGTAAAGCTCGAAGAATAAAAAATATTCCTAGTTAAAAACGGGGAGAGCATACTCTTTAAAAGATTATTCTTTCTTTGTTGTTGTAAGCAAACAATGCAGTAACAAGTGACTGGGTATAACAGAAATAATAGTCAAGTAGGGAGGGGGATGTAAGGACACCGGATGCAATTAGCAAATCCTGTCTCAAGAAAAATAATACTAAAGTGATATTGTTAGATAGTATTTAAAAACTTCTTCTTCCTGTCTTTAGCCTTAGCTAGTGTATTTAGTGGGTGTTTTCTGCCCTATCAGACGACTACTTCCTTTATCGTTCTATATTTTTTTCTAACAATCTGTTCGAACCTTGCCACTATTACATTTAGCACTTGCTTTGTATTGTAACATCATTCCTCCTTTCTCATCATAAATCTAAACCCAAAGAATCGACCAATTTCAATTTGATTTTCAACATGTTTATTACGCCACACATGCATTAAATTATTTAAAATCATACAGACATGACGGTATTATGTGTCGTCCGTGGTGATTGATATTTGTAATATTCAAAATGCTTTAAAATATATGTACCAATATTTCTAGCCACATGAAAGATTTGTTCGAATATAGAGCCCGCAACTAGTTCTAGTTACATAACATAACATCACGCCTTTTATCCCCGAAGGGGTAGGCAGAGGCGCACATTACGGCACTTAATGTTATAACACCCACTTTTCACTATTTATGTTATGAGTCCCATGTAATAGGGGGTGAGCCTATTTCCATATACCGGGCACAATTCCAGACTCCGTGCTAGTGCTACTACTGAGATTTTTTTAAAAACCTAGTAATACCTTGCCCGACCCGAGAATCGAACCCGAGACCTTTTGCCCGGCAGTGGCACTTGCGACCACTCAGCCAATGAGGCAGTCTAGTTCTAGTTACAATCTGTACTAAGGTACACAAGGACAGTCAATAAGGATAGACACGATCGACTGCTAAGGCAACGCCCCACGTAATTGAGTATCCTCCCTTGGGGAGACTGCCGATGGTGTTAATCAATTTATTACTAAATGTGTCGTGGTGTCCCGAAGGTTAAGGATTTACAAGTACGTCAGTTAGCAAGCTCGCAAGTATCAACCATATCCAAGGATCAATCATTTGAAAATAGGCAGAAATTAATTACGGCGCAAGAAAACATCGTAAGAAAACTAAACAAATCAAAGATTCACAAAATATAAACAAAGGTGTATTCTCGTTCTCTCACGTAGATATGATTCTATTTTAATTAATAAACTTAGAATGTATTTCTGCTAGAGATCCCTATGCTAAGAATGCATTCAGATCTTATTTATTTTTATATCGTCCGGCATTTCAAAGCGACAGTATCACGAAACCATTTAATGAAAATTTACTGAAGGTTTTGCTATTACAGACCATTTCACAGAACGAAGTTAAACATGGAAGATATTTTCATGACAACATTCTGATATTTAATTGAAAATTGATAGTGCCGCTTTTTCAAGCAACTGTGTTGTGTGTGTTTTCTATTATTTCGAAATGAAGTGAAAAAAAAATCAGCATCATATCTTAAGGGTAAATAACAGAAAAAACGTTGCTAAAGTAAAGTTCCACGCTGACACACGCGTTTAACACGTAGGACAACATGTCGTGCAACACGTCGAGCGTCAAATGTTGGGTAGTGGTTACGAGACTTTCTTTAATATCTCTGTTCTGGCTAAGGACTCACGGCGCGATTTTCTACCGTGTCCACCGTGGCGGCGGAATCTACAAAACTCACGAGACCGTAGTTTTCTACAGGCCCGCAGCCGCTGAAGTTGCGATAATCCCCCGCAAACCTGGCGGTTGACTATCGCAAGACGGGCGGGCGGTTAAACAATCAGTTCTAGTTCCAGTTCCAGAGTTCCAGACCGGCCGTCCCATTGTGATCGCCCGCCAACCGATCGCAGAGTGCGCGGGTGCAACCCGCCACGGCTGCGGGAGCCGCAAACAATCGCAACCGC